CCCGAACAGCGAGGCTGAAAGGAAACGTCATGTTTATTTTGATGCTTGAATGATATCTCGATTTTGTTTCCGGATGACCAGATCACATATACATAATAATATATTGCTAGATATAGCAAAATATTATAAAAAGAGAACGGAACTGATGACATGCAGTGTTGACATCACTTCTTCCATATATGTGAGTGAATGAGTGACTAAGTAAGTAGGTGAGCTAGCTAGCGTGATGTGGCACATATATGTAGCAGGCGAGATACCATCTGATGAACATGTCATCTTACTCATGGGAATAACCTCTATGTGTTCTCAGAAGTTCCGTACTTCGAATGAAGGATGTGCCCCACGATTAAGGGTACCCTTGCACAAATAGAAACAACTGAAACTGATCAAGCTAAGAAGACTTTCATTCCTACTATGTGTGGATGTAGCAAAATGGGAGGTTGGCCAGTGAGGCTCAGTGTTACCAACACGTATGCCCTTGAAACCAAACACCTGTAAATATTCAAATTTTCCTCTGGGACTTTCATACGTTCAATAGATGATTGTCCCCTAATGTCTACTCCTAATGATTTAAAGCAGATGACCTCCTCGGCTATTTCAACATATATATATTTATCAGGAAAACCATGAACATTTGGCCACAAAATATAAGATTTTCAATATAACTCTGCAAATGGCACTTTCAGTATGGTCAAAGTGGGATGGTCAAACCATAGTCAAATATAACACCAAAAAACCCCCGGAAAATCAATCTTCAGCCCCAATAAAACAACACATGTATAGATATGAACCACACTGTGAACACAAACGTCTGAGGAATTGCTATCCGATCCCCTTAAACAAACTAAATTGTCATTATTGCTGGGAACAAGTATGGGATGCACACTGTTTTGTTTTTAAATTAATTTGTGTTTATAGCTTTTTTGAAAGAAATATGACCGGCTTTTCCCTGGCACAATATTTCCTTGGGGCTATTTTGAAGACAAAGTAAAAAGTGTGACAAGTATATGGAAGACGACATGCAACTACATAAGCTCATACCTAGCAACCAAAATTCTATTTTCATGTAAAATATAATTAGGTTCCTTTTGATTGATACTGAAAACAATTCTCAGTAACTATTGTCTCAGATGATATGCCTGTCTTAGTTGTTCTTTCAAATTTTACCTTTTAACACATAAGAGGGTATAATGAAAGGGGGGGAAAACACATGGACATTAATGCAAAGTAGTTTTGGCAGCAGACGAAAGCATAATATTTAAAGAAACATCAACGGTAAAGCATTAAACATATGTCCAACTCGAATAATTGATAACTGTAACTATCACACTCTGGTTTCTTCAGCTACATATCTGGAATCAAATGCTAACACATCCTCTTTAATTGATCAAGGGACCTTTAACTGTTTTCGCGTGAAGAACATCTCAGATATATTGCTGGGGGGTTAATTTGACCGGATGTCAGTATAACTGTTATCTTTGGAAGGAATCCAGAGATGTTAGGTGGTGGTAACATACGGCTGAAACTGACCTATATATGTCAGCGGTGTCAAGCGTAAAATTCAAGGAGTCTGCATCTGAGATACAAATGAAGTCATGTGGTCTGGGCAGACTTTGAGGTAATAGATCAAAACAGCATTTGCGTAATTGTAAATGTTGTCGTCAAAAACACTGTTGTGAGCCTAGCATGATCGAAGAACAATGGCAGATCTCAGTGTCAAGAAGGTTAGACTAACATTTAAGTGTAAAGTCCAATAAGACCAATAACATGCGATTAATAACTTCAATATCTCGTGATCGATCATAGTGAACACAAGGGCGTTATTTTCGTTAACATGACGGTCAAGCTATAAGTTCGGAAAGAGGAAGAAACAAACGTCGACATGGAATTGTTCTTATTCTTCAATGAATACACATAAAAGCGTCAACAATATGCATCTTTTGGACACAGGTGTTACCTTCCTGGCAACGTTTTGCATATACGTCGACCTAAAAAACACATTCACTGGATGATTTTCACAATTACTTTGATTTCATATCATGCTGTTTGGTGACAGCTTTTTAAAAACATATTCATGTTTGAGCTGCGATCGAGGTCATCAATAATCGTGAAAAGATTATTCCATCAACTATCATGAAACTATTTAGTTATTTAATCACACAAATCGTTCATGAAATGAACCACCTCACAAACTTATTATTGATATTAATACCCTAGCACTAAACGTCGACTGCCTTTCACATAAACCAACGTTTTACAAAATCTCCCAAACACTTAGCAGCCTTAAACATACAATATTCATGAATGTGTGGAGAGTATGCCACTTTGACGTTGGTTATACATGATATTCATCAGCAGAAATTTCAGAATTCCATAGCAAAGGGTCACACATTTCCATATCTTCAGATTTACATTTCGTGCGCTTCATCAGATCAAAGGAAATATATTTCAAGTACCACTTTCATCCCAAAGCAAGGGAAAGTATCGAAAATGCAATTTCAAATTTATTGTCAATATTTACACATACTTTTTATTCTGCCATTTTGTTCCAATGTTTAAACGCGTGGCCTTCTTCGTGACCCTTAATCAGCGCCCGAGTACAAATCACGCTGAACATTCACTGTATGATAAAACAAGCTCTTCATACACTTCATAAATAGTCGAAATCAAACGTCTGCAGCCTCACAACAAACACCGAACTCTTACGATCATGTTGGATCAGAAATAATTTTCAAACAATCTCTAAATGATACTCAAACAAAACATAGCACCGCGAGGATTTATTTGTGGAATAACAACACAAAATTGTTACAGTTGGTGGGTGAAAGTCGCCGTCACAATCAGCCAGAAGGCTGATGTTAACAATTAGAAGATGATCATCGGATTCTCCTATCAACCAGTCCTAACGCCAACGCTTCTCACTGTTATTATGATCTCTGACATTTCGCTTCAGATCTCTTTATAGGTTTCTCCTTCTAAACGAAAACAGTCGAATCTCATACATACACACACACACACACACACACACACACACACACACACACACACACACACACACACACACACACACACACACACACACACACACACACACACACACACACATACACACACACATACACACACACACACACACACACACAAAAGAAGAAACAAATATATCTCATAAAATCGTTTGGAAAGTTATGATTGAGCATGTCACTTGGCATCATGTTATTTTTATGATGTGAATAACAGCCACATCAACAAGATCAGCGATACAGCATGTTTCCTCTGGGGAACAACGCACATTATCGTCGATGAAACACTTTAAAGGCAATCGGCAAATACCTGGGAATGTGTAGGCTGGTTGGGTGGTCAGCAATATTCCTGCAACATGGCGGCGGCCTGTAAATAATCGAGTCTGGACCAGACAATCCATTGATCAACAGCATTAGCATCGATATAATGACATGTGTCAACCAAGGCAGATAGCCTGACCTCCCAATCGGGTTAGTCGCCTTTTACGACAAGCATCAGTTTCTGAAGACCAATTCTATCCCGGATCTTCACAAGTGGGGAATGTGTGGGATACATGGAGACGGGGAAAGTATACTTGATAGGGCTTGATTTCATGTTACAAACAGCTTTAGGTGTCATTTTCAAAGCTTTATCATCAATCAATACAAATTTTATCATCTTACATCTCTGTAAACACGTCGCATAGGAAATCATGGAGTTGAACACCATAAGGCAAATCTGCCATCCTGTTGCAATTGATGATTTCCTAATTTCTTCATGGCATACAACAGTTATTTCTCATATGCTGCTGACAGAACCAACGAAACGCTTTCCAATCCATAAGAACATCAATTGTACTTTTTTTGACTACATTATGAGTATGCATTTGTTTCACCAGTATTACAGCTTTACGATGTTGTTTGGTGTTCGCGAAAATGTGAACATATTCTGCCCCAACGGTGGCACCCGTCATAAACAAAGTTTACTCATTTCTTCACCTGAAAACAAATTGGGAACGTATGATACACATCGAAATAGGAAATTGCATCATACATTATTTTCGTCACTGCAGTATCAAAATTGGAAATCCACATGCTCACTCCACTCACTCACTCACCGTTCACCAGAAAGTAGAAAAAACTGTAACATGACACGTTAGACAAACAGTGCTATCGAAAGTTTAGTGTGATGTTCTTCCATGGTTGAAAAGATGCAGTTAGACATACTGAGGTCACAAACACGGTAATGTGTACCGTAGAGATAATATATGTAGAGATAAAAGGCCTTTCTCTCAAAGAGATGTACTTGAGACAAACCTCTCACAGACGGTGCCTAGTGGGGAAGCCAGACTAGTGATCCTTCACTGGTGATCCGTTTGTGTCATAAGATGAAAAGACCAGTGGAAACGTCAAAGTTGCACACAATCTGGCGGTACTCAATATCATCTTTCATCTTGACATGGAGGAAATTCAAAGGGGCTGTTGGTTTTCCGTGCAATCAGTAATATTACATCTATACACTTGGAATACAGTAGGGGATCATGACATATAAACACCAAGTCTTTGAACAATATAAGTGTTGACGACAAATCTAAACCAGTAACGTCTATGCTGACTTAGTTGACTCGTTATCGTAGATCGATGTTCATGATGCTGATCACTGGGTTGTCTGGTCCAGACTCGATTATTTACAGACCGTCATCATATAGCTGGAATATTGCTGAGTGCGGCGTAAAACAACCAACCAACATAACATATAACATAACAGAAGATATGTTTCCAACTGATCTGCTTCTACAGGATAGAAAACAGCATTTATTCAATTCTATTAGTATGTTATTCACATCGTATTTTGTAAGATAACATTCTACATACTAAACTCACGGGCGAAAGAAACGTCACCAAAATGATTTTCTATCTTTTATCGTACACTAAGTGATTATTCATATCTGTAGTCCACACTTTCATCATTCAGAATGGTGTAAATCCATTCATTTTCCACATATGATTGTTAAATTTCCAAAATCTAAGTTTGTTGTTTTGTGACATGTTAAAAAAGCGAGGTGACGTTTCTTTCGCCCGTGAGTTTATATTTGAGCATCACGTTCATATACTAATTTAATGTGATTTTGTCAATTCCGTTTAACCATAACCTGAGGTAAACCCTATTACACCCCTCTATGAACATGTGTCATCCAAACCAACAGCTGCAATTGGGGTTTTAAGGGATATTGATGAGCAATTCGTAACAGTTCAAAACTTGATTAACGTCATTTAGTTTCCCTATAGAAAATACGTGTATTGGCAAAGGAATATTGGTATTAAATGAAGTATTGTGAATATTGATATTATAAATTAACGTCACATAGTAATACACACACACACACACACACACACACACACACACACACACACACACACACACACACACACACACACACATACATACATACATACATACATACATACATACATACATACATACATACATACATCAGCAGCTATGACAACTGTCAAATTGTGGCCATTTTCAAACAAAATACTTCATCTCAGTTCAATGACTTTTGATGGCATAAGTGGCAGCTAAAGTTGGGGCCATCTTCAAGGCGATACGTCTTCATTCATCATATTCATTGGTGAGGAAGTGATAAACAAATGCAGCCTTCTTGGAGTCTTCGACTCGAGCACGTGATTTAGAATGTCGTGTTGCAGAGTGTCTGTCATCTTTGCTTGATGATGGCGGAGCCCGGAAGAAAACATTCCCGAACAGCGAGGCTGAAAGGAAACGTCATGTTTATTTTGATGCTTGAATGATATCTCGATTTTGTTTCCGGATGACCAGATCACATATAAATAATAATATATAGCTAGATATAGCAAAATATTATAAAAAGAGAACGGAACTGATGACATACAGTGTTGACATCCCTTCTCCCATATATGTGAGTGAATGAGTGACTAAGTAAGTAGGTGAGCTAGCTAGCGTGATGTGGCACATATATGTAGCAGGCGAGATACCAACTGATGAACATGTCATCTTACTCATGGGAATAACCTCTATGTGTTCTAAGAAGTTCTGTACTTCGAATGAAGGATGTGCCCAACGATTAAGTGTACCCTTGCACAAATAGAAACAACTGAAACTGATCAAGCTAAGAAGACTTTCATTCCTACTATGTGTGTATGTAGCAAAATGGGAGGTTGGCCAGTGAGGCTCATTGTTACCAACACGTATGCTCTTGAAACTAAACACCTGTAAATATTCAAATTTTCCTCTGGGACTTTCATACGTTCAATAGATGATTTTCCCCTAATGTCTACTCCCAATGATTTGAAAACAGATGACCTCCTCGGCTATTTCAACATATATATATTTATCAGGAAAGACATGAACATTTGGCCACAAAATATAAGATTTTCAATATAACCCTGCAAATGGCACTTTCAGTATGGTCAAAGTGGGATGGTCAAACCATAGTCAAATATAACACAAAAAAGAAACGGAAAATCAATCTTGAGCCCCAATGAAACAACACATGTATAGATATGAACCACACTGTGAACACAAACGTCTGAGGAATTGCTATCCGATCCCCTTGAACAAACTAAATTGTCATTATTGCTGGGAACAAGTATGGGATGCACAATGTTTTGTTTTTTAATGAGTTTGTGTTTATAGCTTTTTTGAAAGAATTATGACCGGCTTTTCCCTGGCACAACATTTCCTTGGGGCTATTTTGAAGATAAAGTAAAAAATGTGACAAGTATATGGAAGACGACATGCAACTACATAAGCTCATACCTAGCAACCAAAATTCTATTTTCATGTAAAATATAATTAGGTTCCTTTTGATTGATACTGAAAACAATTCTCAGTAACTATTGTCTCAGATAATATGCCTGTCTTAGTTGTTGCAGTTAAATCTAAAATATTTCAAATTTTACCTTTTAACACATAAGAGGGTATAATGAAAGGGGAAAACACATGGACATTAATGCAAAGTAGTTTTGGCAGCAGGTCTTGACGGTTGTCCATTAAAGACGAAAGCATACTTTTTAAAAAAACATCAACGGTAAAGCATTAAACATATGTCCAACTCGAATAATTGATAACTGTAACTATCACACTCTGTGTTTTTCAGCTACATATCTGGAATCAAATGCTAACACATCCTCTTTAATTGATCAAGGGACCTTTAATTGTTTTCGCGTGAAGAACATCTCAGATATATTGCTGGGGGGTTAATTTGACCGGATGTCAGTATAACTGTTATCTTTGGAAGGAATCCAGAGATGTTAGGTGGTGGAAACATACGGCTGAAAATGACCGATATATGTCAGCGGTGTCAAGCGTATAATTCAAGGAGTCTGCATCTGAGATACAAATGAAGTCATGTGGTCTGGGCAGCCTTTGAGGTAATAGATCAAAACAGCATTTGCGTAATTGTAAATGTTGTCGTCAAAAACACTGTGGTGAGCCTAGTATGATCAAAGAACAATGGCAGATCTCAGTGTCAAGAAGGTTAGACTAACATTTAAGTGTAAAGTCCAATAAGACCAATAACATGCGATTAATAACTTCAATAACTCGTGATCGATCATAGTGGACACAAGGGCGTTATTTTCGTTAACATGACGGCCAAGCTATAAGTTCGGAAAGAGGAAGAAACAAACGTCGACATGGAATTGTTCTTATTCTTCAATGAATACACATGAAAACGTCGACAATATGCATCTTTTGGACACAGGTGTTACCTTCCTGGCAACGTTTTGCATATACATCGACCTAAAAAACACATTCACTGGATGATTTTCACAATTACTTGGATTACATATCATGCTGTTTGGTGACAGCTTTTTAAAAACATATTCATGTTTGAGCTGCGATCGAGGTCATCTTTAATCGTGAAAAGATTGAGCTATTCCATCAACTATCATGAAACTATTTAGTTATTTAATCACACAAACCGTTCATGAAATGATTGACAACTTTCACCACCTCACAAACGTATTATTGATATTAATACCCTAGCACTAAACGTCGACTGCCTTTCACTTAAACCAAAGCTTTACAAAATCTCCCAAACACTTAGCAGCCTTAAACATACAATATTCATGAATGTGTGGAGAGTATGCCACTTTGACGTTGGTTATACATGATATTCATCAGCAGAAATTTCAGAATTCCATAGCAAAAGTTCACACATTTCCATATCTTCAGATTTACATTTCGTGCGCTTCATCAAAATTGATTCAAAGGAAATATATTTTGAAGAACCACTTTCATCCCAAAGCAAGGGAAAGTATCGAAAATGCAATTTCAAATTTATTGTCAATATTTACACATACTTTTTATTCTGCCATTTTGTTCCAATGTTTAAACGCGTGGCCTTCTTCGTGACCCTTAATCAGCGCCCGAGTACAAATCACGCTGAACATTCACTGTATGATAAAACAAGCTCTTCATACACTTCATAAATAGTCGAAATCAAACGTCTGCAACCTCACAACGAACACCGAACTCTTACGATCATGTTGGATCAGAAATAATTTTCAAACAATCTCTAAATGATACTCATACAAAACATAGCCCCGCGAGGATTTGTTTGGGGAAACACAACACAAATTTGTTACAGTTGGTGGGCGAAAGTCGCCGTCACAATCAATATGTCCGAAAAGCCAGAAGACTGATATTAACAACTAGAAGGAGATGGTCATCGTATTCTCCATCAACCAGTCCTAACGCCAACGTTTCTCACTGTTATTATGATCTCTCACATTTCTCTTCACATCACTTTATAGGTTTCTCCTTCTAAACGAAAACAGTCCAATATCTTTCCACACAAGAAGAAACAAATATATCTCATAAAATCGTTTGGGTGGTTATGATTGAGCATGTCACTTGGCATCATATTATTTTTATGATGTGAACAACAGCCACATCACCACAAGTTGATCAAAGATTTTTTGTCAAAATGAAAAAGCAAGACCAAACTGCTAAAGTTGTTGGGAGAAAAGGGCCATCAGAATCACATTCCATAAATCTCTCATAGCCTGCAATGTGTTCTTGATCCTTCATCAATAATTATCAGTTGTACGTCGATACAACAGCAACGTTGTATTTCTCCACTCGGCATTTGACAACAAGATCAGTCATACAGCATGTTTCCTTTGGGGAACAACGCACATTATCGTCGATAAAACACTTTAAAGGCAATCGGCAAATACCTGGGAATGTGTGGGCTGGTTGGTTGGTCAGCAATATTCCAGCAACATGGCGGCGGCCTGTAAATAATCGAGTCTGGACCAGACAATCCATTGATCAACAGCATTAGCATCGATATAATGACATGTGTCAACCAAGTCAGATAGCCTGACCTCCCAATCGGGTTAGTCGCCTTTTACGACAAGCATCAGTTTCTGAAGACCAATTCTATCCCGGATCTTCACAAGTGGGGAATGTGTGGGATACATGGAGACGGGGAAAGTATACTTGATAGGGCTTGATTTCATGTTACAAACAGCTTTAAGTGTCATTTTCAAGGCTTTATCATCAATCAATACAAATTTTATCATCTTACATCTCTGTCAACACATCGCATAGGAAATTATGGAGTTGAACACCATAAGGCAAATCTGTCATCTTGTTACAATTGATGATTTCCTAATTTCTTCATGGCATACAACAGTTATTTCTCATATTCTGCTGACAGAACCAACAAAACGCTTTCCAATCCATACGAACATCAATTGTACTTTTCTTACTACATTATGAGTATGCACATTTGTTTCACCAGTATTACAGCTTTACGATGTTGTTTGGTGTTCGCGAAAATGTGAACGTAATCTGCCCCAACGGTGGCACCCGTCATAAACAAAGTTTACTCATTTCTTCACCTGAAAACAAATTGGGAACGTATGATACACATCGAAATAGGAAATTGCATCGTACATTATTTTCGTCACTGCAGTATCAAATTTGGAAATCCACATGCTCACTCCACTCACTCACTCACCGTTCACCAGAAAGTAGAAAAAACTGTAACATGACACGTTAGACAAACAGTGCTATCGAAAGTTTAGTGTGATGTTCTTCCATGGTTGAAAAGATGCAATTAGACATACTGAGGTCACAAACACGGTAATTTGTACCATATGTAGAGATAAAAGGCCCTTCTATCAAAGAGATGTACTTGAGACAAACCTCTCACAGACGGTGCCTAGTGGGGAAGCCAGACTAGTGATCCTTCACTGGTGATCCGTTTGTGTCATAAGATGAAAAGACCAGTGGAAACGTCAAAGTTGCAAACAATCTGGCGATAGTCAATATCATCTTTCATCATGACATGGAGGAAATTCAAAGGGGCTGTTGGTTTTCCGGGCAATCAGTAATATTATATCTATACACTTGGAATACAGTAGGGGATCATGACATATAAATACCAAGTCTTTGAAAAATATAAGTGTTTACGACAAAATCTAAACCAATAACGTCTATGTTCCCAACACACGTGTATTTCCATGTGCCGCAAGCAGTAGCACCACGTTATGTGTACACAGTGACAATCCTGCTTTGACACTTTCAAGGAGGGCGATTGATTTTTATGGACCTCTATATCTGTCAATATTATCGACACTGCTTACCATAGTTACACTTGTGATTTACTTGATGCTATTCACACACACACACACACACACACACACATATGTGTGTGTGTGTGTATGTATATGTATATATATAAACAAGTGATTTCTGCAGGTGTATAAGCAATTAATAAATAAAAAAATATGAGTCCAGATATTTCTTCTTGTCAAATCTCCTTTATAGAGATTTGACAAGAAGAAATATCTGGATTCACAGTTTACGTGCATATACATACGTGCGTGTGTGCGTGTGTGTGTGTTGTGTGGTATCATGTAATCTATTTTGTTGTTTTGGTCAAATCAACACGAAAGTTACTTAACTGACCAGGCAGATCTGAACAGACACTCTGTTTGGAGGTGATGCATGTTTGGTGCAGTACGTTTGGCACTAATGAAACTGGTTTTGAATCATGATATCCATATGATGCCTCTTCCAATGGTGCAGGTGTCAATAACCGGATTGTTACCTAAATCAGTTTACACAATAAGAGGTGGTCAGAGCATCATGAAACAGTTTGTTTTCGACAAATATATATAGAAAAGCAGGTTGAAATCGACACAGTATGCTGGGACATTCTGTATCCCACAAATAATACATTCTTTAAGTCCAGAATCTATGGTGTGATGTTTTGAGATTCTCTACGCCAAGCATGGAGTTTACTGGAAATCAATACAAATATCTCAAATCAACAAATCAAACTGACATTTTTTTAAAGAAATGAACAACAGCAAAATATCGAATTCTATTAAATTAGATTAACCTTAACTTATTTATCATCTTCGGTTGTCAGAAATCACCCTGAAGTTTTTAAAGTTTGTGTCAAATCGAAAAGGAAAAAGCACAAATCCAATTTGTATCCTGTGCACACACTCACAGAAGGTGAAACATTCAATTTTGGAGATATGTTTTCAAGACTTCCGATACATATATTCTTTCGGAGGTGACATGTGCAAGATACGATAATTGTTTTTACATCAAGTAAAACATGTTTTCCACCATTCATCATTTAATTTCTAACTAATGAACCTTAAGACGCGTTAAGATGAGGTATGTGTATAACAAAACCAACGAGCTCTGAAAACCCGATTCAAACCGCAAATGTTGACTGGAAATCCCTGTGCGTCTACACTTCAACCCTCAGTGATGCGGAGAAAGGGATACATTTTCTCATTCCAAATGTTACAAAAATATAACCTTGCCGGCGATATCACTAATGCACAATTATGGGTTCATTTAACCTGGGTCTAAAGTGAGCCCACGAAACCCGCTTATCTCACTCTTTCGTTTGTGGACGGCTCCAGGAACAGACTCAACATTTCAATAACATAAGTTATCACAGTTTTATGATTAATCCAAACTGAGATAAAAACACCATTTGCCTTAAATATCGACACCAGATCAATATTTTCGCTAACATGATTGTATCGTGTCCTTCATAAAGTTCGAACAGACGAAGAAGCAAACGCCGATATAGAATAATGTTCTGTGCTTGAATGAATACACATAATATCATCAAGAATATGCAACAATTGGACACAAATTATAACATCCTGGTCTTCACACACTTTCGCAAAATAAAATAAATTCATTGGCCAATCAAATATGTTAACGCAAAAATGTATTGACTTTAGCAAACATGTCCTGGTTTGTTTTCTATCCAGGTGAAAGCGGTTCTTTGCACCTGGCAATTATTGGTTTACAAAGGCGAATTGGATTTAATGGCTTCTAATCAATTGTGAAGGAGGGGGCTTTTACCACGTACAAGAACGTGAAGGACACCAAAAGGGACAAAATTGAGATTTTGAATGGCGCAATTGGTTGGATAACATTTCATGTTTCTTGTTGGCACTTTTTGAAAAATGCAATGCATAATATAGCTGTAATCCAGATAATCGACTTTGTTGAAAAGAGATTGAGCTATTTAATCACACAGTGTGTTTATCAAATGAATGCCTGCTTCTTTAACGTCAACACCTTTTAACGTTCGTATCAAAACCAAATATTACACATCGATTGTCTATCACTTAATCCACGAATCAGTATGAGCCCACAGCAAATGGATTGATTGTGATGAAGACAGTGAAGATGCTGAAGACATATCATTTATAGAAATTACTTAAACATATTTGTAAACTCTCCAGGTTTCTGTCATATTTTACCAAACTAAATTATAGTAAATACATAACAGGGATAATGTTGGTAGTTGGTAAATATTCCAATAGACCAGAATAGTTTTGGAAGCTGTTTATCACAGAGAAGACGCAGTTTGAACACATCCCACGTGCACATTCGTTAATGTCCTTTCAAAAAGCGTCATTCGGGAATTCTCAAAAGATGTTTAACCCGTTTGCAACTTTTAAGGCCGCAGCTATACTTTAAAATTATTCATGGAAGACATGTGGAGAATATGTCCACATTTGACGGATCAAAGACAGATATTATGCCGATGGGATTCATCATTTTGTTACCGACTGTCAACGAGGCTTTTCAAGTGAGCAACAGACTTGTCTTAGCATGCATTTGTGATGGCAGCAGGATGCGCGTCCATTTCGCTAACACTAACTGCCATTACTTTGGTGATTTACAACGCATGTTCATGATACGGTTGGAAACCTGCGATCGGCTCTGCCTTGAGAAGGGATTTCTTTGTAATCTTTATATTTATAGTACGGTTACAAAATCTCCCAATCTGCCATAAGCTCTGTGCACAAAAATTTACATGAATAAATGGACAATGTGCCCCTTAGAATTTGGCTACATATGATATTGATCAGCAGATGTTTCAGCAATACAGAGGAAAAGGTCACGACCATTTCCATATTTTCAGTGTTGCAATTTGTGCACTTCTGAAAAAAAAAGTCAACGAAAATATACTTTAAGAACCACTTTCTTCCCTGAACAAACAAAAAGTGTGGAAAATGCAATTTCAAATTTAACGCCATTATTTACACTTACTTTCTATAGAGCTACTTTGCTGTCATGTTTAAACTGCCCTCGTATTCCAACGGCGCTGCACATTCATTGCATGAAGAAGCTTTTCAAACACTAAAATGCTAAATATGGAATGTGTGCAGCCACACAAAAAACATCGACCTTTCAAGATAGTTCTGGGAGTAGTGCCCTTGAAACGTGATGTCGTTTGAAGGTAACACACTCTAAATAATACTCAAACAAAGATATAGCCCAGCAAGTATTTTATACTGAAAAATTCCTGAAAACACAAGAGGAGACCGTTATACTTTTCTTAATTATTCGGAGAAAAACATCGCCAGAGCCAGTATGAATGAAATGGGCATGACTGTCCAAGAATGTCTGAACATCAAATAAGCTAATGTTATCACAGAGGGAAGATTACAAATAGAAGAACAGATATCGATGTCGATGCCGCATTTCTTTAAATGAAGCCAGTTCAACCTCTTTTCACACATGGAGAAACAAATATGTGTCATAATATTATTTAAGCGCTTATCATTCAACATGTCTTTTGGCATGGCGTTGTGTGCTTGCGATAAGAATACGAACCAACCAAAGATTATTTGTCAAAATGCATTTGTTCTGATATGATCAATCATAAAACCAGCGAAAACTCGTAAATTGCTCTTTTCAACATGCTCACATTCCATAAATGGCTCATCACTTTCAATGTAGTCTTGATCCTTCATCAATGGGTATCAGTAATAACGTCAGAAATAGCAGTGTAGTTCTCCCTTGGGTTTTTGACAACAAGCTCAATCAAACAGCGTGTTATGCCACACATGTTTCCTTTGACTTCAAAACAGTATCAGCATTCAGACAAGAGCTGAGAGTGTTGTGTTGGGTATATGGGGAGGGAAACTATATTTCATGAGGGTCGACCTAATTTTACAAAGGTCTTTAAGTGGCATTTTACTATTAAAGTTTAAACACACACATAAACAGACAGTCGCTCACGCACTCACCCACGCAAGCACTCTTGCCTATTAGGCCATGCGGTTGGAATTATCCATGTTCAAACCAATCAAACTGTTCATTATAAAGAAACAATACATGCTGTTGTACAGAAATAGGGTTAACCAAGGTCTAGTGTGATATCCGTCGTTGGTTGAAAAGACGCAAATGGAATGTCACACACACACAGTAGTTGTTTTCACGTGTAGAGATCTAGGGTCGTCCTTACAATGAGGAGTCTCAATGTGTTCTTGAAACAAAACTTCTCAAAGACGGAGCCAAGATTGTATCAACAAGTGTTAATCAGATCGATCGATTCAGATCGAGTGTACTCTTTTATCTGGTTGATGGTTTCCGTCTGTAACAGTTGTGGACTACGAAAGACTAACTTCTAATCAATGTAAGTTATCATGTAGAATGAAGCTTGAAAGTCATCAATGAGGTGTTTGTTTGATTAATGCTTTGTTTTTATTTGAAGGAAATACATACCAGTCAATAATGAAAAATTAATGATGAATCACATAATCACTTACGACTCAGATATCCTTAACAGATGGAGTGAGTGAGTTTAGTTTTACGCCGCTTTTAGCAATATTCCAGCAAAATCACGGCGGGGGAGACCAGAAATGGGAATCGAACCCGGGTCTTCGGTGTGACGAGCGGACGCTTTAACCACTAGAGTACCCCACCACCCCGGATTGCAAGTGTAACGTATTAATGATATATGTACTTGAGGACAACGTCAGCATATGTATTTCTCAACAAACACGCATGCGAGTATAGGTGTCAGCTCTTCACCCACTATATCCACTTACCAAGGATTTTAATTTTCAATTCGTTCTGGTCAGCGTATTTCAGAAGTTCCCGGAGGAATGCGCACAAATACTTGAACACGTTTCTGTGACTGTCCGGAATAGCTTGTAGCTCCTGAACACATTGGGGAAAAAAGAAGTTATGATTCATATCAATTATATCATATCAATAGATCACAGTATCAACATATCACGATTATAGTGAATGCATAATAGCAACAATTCTAAGCAGTGTTGCTATTTGTATTTTTGTTGAATTCATATCGTTTCGAAATGTGATAAATTTTCACGACCGTAGCAATGGCGTGACTTATAGCTTTGCAGTGCAAGGGAAGCAACTCTGAATGAATTACTGTCACTTGGTATGTGCTTGAAGACAACATTGTATGTATGTACTTCCTTCCCAAACATTCAGCATTGCTGACAGCTTATTCTTTAGCTATAAATTTATGTCATGTAATATAATAATGTAAAATAGCGCTGCTGTGTATTGAACACTGATACATTTAGCCCAGTGCATTCGTTTGTCAATGCAGCCCATGAAAGTACGTCTTTTTATATGAAGGCCACGCGTGAGTGTATATAACACATGATGGCGATCACTCGGCAGTTTTATATTTCAGCTGCAATAATTCGCGTTTTGTCCCAAATGTCACTGAAGTTGCGCCACCAATGGTAGAAAACTATACTCACAAAACAGCCTATGAATCGACGTCAAATAATATCACTGAAAACATTTCCACAAAATAATAATGTCCATATTCACTAACAATAATCATTCTACTGTCGCATACACTCTTAGGATTCTTTTCCACTATTCAGTCTGTTAGTTCACATGTCAATAGTGTTGTCATTTCTGATAGCCCTTGCGTTGCTACTAATTTCAAATCGATATGCTTATGTTACAAGTTCCAGAATATGGAGAACGTATGGCGCAGTTGTCCAAGGCGCCGAGAACATGTGTGAGTGAGTATAGTTTTACGCCGCTTTTAGCAATATTGAAGCAATTTCAAGGCGGGAGACACCAGGAATGAGCTTCTCACATTGTACCCATCGGGGAATCGAACCCCGGTCTTCGGTGTGACGAGAGTGTGTACACAACCGCCTCCTTCCCTTAAGCATGCCAGAAGTATTTGCTTTTTGGTTCGAATCCCATATTTTCCCCCATGGGTGGTTCAATTCGGGTAGGATGCAACATCAAGCTGACAAGCCGTGATATAACTGACACAATGTTTAATGCAGCATAAGACGCAACTCACTCACTCATTCACCCACTGACACACATTCAATAAACACTCTGACACCCCCATGCACTCACTCTCACACACAATGGCAATTCCCACTGATAACGCCATTAACAATGCATTATTCCTGGTAATGGTAAATACCTTCTTGCAACGATGAAAATCCGTGGAACACTGAAGACAGGAGTGATACAAGGCTGAAGGAATAACCGGCTCTGGAAGCGCCTCAAGGAACAGTAACAGAGCCTCGGCCACTGAGTGGACACTGCCGGCTGGTAGAAGGTCAAGGAAAACGTGTGACCGCCACGTTGAGATACTGTGAAAAAAGCATGTGCCCGTCCACATTTATATGAGTGAACTTCACGCCTCTGTCACTAATATACACTGAAGTCAATGCTTGACGATTTAAAGAGAATGAATTTAGTAGTGGTTCTTTACGCCGTATTTTGCAATATTTCAGTCTCATGGCGGGTGACACCGATAAACATGGGCTCCACTCATTGTATCAGTGTGTAGAATCGAACTGGGTCATTTCCCGTTAGGGGTAAACGATATCACCATAAAACCACCCTACCACCTTTAACAGTTATGAAGTGTTCATTGATTAATACCTTTCGTGTATAATGTCTACGGTAAATCTGAGTCTCTCCAGACGCTATATGTCCACGGTATGACGAACTCAACATTATTCGGTAGGTTACCGATTCGAAATTGCAAATCTGTGTGGGAGATTGAACTATACAACATTTCCAAACTTTTTGTCAAAAAACATGTTGTATTCTTTGTAATCTAATTTTGAAAGAGGGGAAAGATAACACAAAGGATACGAAGATATTCAGGGCTACCGGTGTCCAGAGCGTCCCTGATCTGCTTGATCTCCGAAGGGTGACCACGCTTCAGGAACATTGATACCTGAAGAAGTATATAGAGATGTTTGTTTTATTTATATGTTTATTTTTTTGTTTATTAAATGCCGCACTCAGCACTCTATTTCATCAGTATGACAGATTTCTGCATATAATCGCGTCTGAGGATATGCCACAAACATGAAGTGTATAAATTTGTTACATATTTTCTTGTATGTCAGTCCAAACACAATGGCGATTTGGAGCCTGTTCCCAAGAACACGGCGTCAATTGCGTTTCTTGTTCATTCCAAACCAATACAATTTATCTGCTCATCCTTATTGCACTTTTGTACTGACAGGGCTATTGTTATTCTGTATGAAATGTTTCACGTTTGAAAGCTTTCATTTCAGATTGCAATAACACTGCAACTTGCCTGTTCCCCGCCATACTTGTAGAGGTGATTGACAAGACGGAAGATTTCTTTGGGGCAGATGTATTTACGGGCTGTTGTATGGGTCCGTTGAGTTCAAGAACGCACTGTCACCCTGGAGACAGAGATGGAGACCGAATAGTCATATGTTGGAATTTAAAACTCCACAGACAATTCACAAATGAGCATACTGAATGTCGATAGTGGAAGGACATTGGTGGTGTATTGAGCAAAAATGGAGGCTGCGATAAAAGTTATATATATTTTGTGGGTGAGTGGGTGAGTGAGCGAGTGAGATGGGTAAGTGTGCAGAGTGAGTGGGATGGGTGAGCTTGATGTGGAATCGGTGAGGTGAGTGAGAGGGTGGGATAGGAGGGTCGGTGAGTGAGTGAGATGGGTGGGTGGGTGGGTGAATAAGTGCGAGAGGGGTGGGTGGGTGGGGAGTGAGCGAGAGGGATGGGTAAGTGTGCGAGCGAGGTGAGATGGGTAGAAGTGTGCGAGAGTGAGTGGGATGGGTGAGTGAGTGAGAGGGTGGGATAGGAGGGTCGGTGAGTGAGTGAGCGAGTGAGATAGATGGGAGGGTGGGTGGGTGAATAGGTGCGAGAGGGGTGGGTGGGTGGGTGAGTGAGCGAGAGGATGGGTGGGTGGGTGAGTGAGCGAGAGAGAGATGGGTGGGTGAGTGAGTGAGAAGGTTGAGTTAGTGGGATGGGTAAGTGAGTGAGTGAGCGAGTGAGATGAGAAGGTGGCTGAGTGAGAGGAAGTGAGCAAGTGGCATGGGAGGGTCAATGAATTATTGAGTCAGCTTCAAATTCGCTTTGAACAGTATTTGAGATATCCATACATCATCAAATCGTATCAGCTTTGTGTGACCAGAAAATTCAACTGTATTCCAAGGCGTGGGAGTATAAGTGAGGGACATCCGTACCACTTGTATCAGCTCTGTAACAGGAACGTCTCTGATTGGTCCGTGGACATAGACGAGGGTCTCAATGGACGTACCGAAGCTGCTTGGTACATAAGTGGCATGAATAGGTATGTTGCAGCCACCACAAAATACATCGACCTTTCAAGATTAGTCAGCTGGGAGTAGTGCCCTTGAAACGTGATGTCGTTTTGAAGGTACACAAACTCTAAATAATACTCAAACAAAGAAATAGCCCAGCAAGTATTTTATACTGAAAAATTCCTGAAAAAACAAGAGGAGACCGTTATGCTTTTCTTAATTATTCGGAGAAAAACATCGCCAGAGCCAGTATGAATGAAATGGGCATGACTGTCCAAGAATGTCTGAACATCAAATAAGCTAATGTTATCACAGAGAGAAGATTACAAATAGAAGAACAGATATCGATGTCGATACCGCATTTCTTTAAATGAAGCCAGTTCAACCTCATTTCACACATGGAGAAACAAATATGTGTCATAATATTATTTAAGCGCTTATCATTCAACATGTCTTTTGGCATGGCGTTGTGTGCTTGCGATAAGAATACGAACCAACCAAAGATTATTTGTCAAAATGCATTTGTTCTGATATGATCAATCATAAAACCAGCGAAAACTCGTAAATTGCTCTTTTAAACATGCTCACATTCCATAAATGGCTCATCACTTTCAATGAAGTCTTGATCCTTCATCAATGGGTATCAGTAATAACGTCAGAAATAGCAATGTACTTTTCCCTTGGGCATTTGACAACAAGCTCAATCGAACAGCGTGTTATGCCACAAATGTTTCCTTTGACTTTAAAACAGGATCAGCATTCAGACAAATACTGAGGGTGTTGTGTTGGATATATGGGGATGGGTAACTATATTTCATGAGGGTCGACCTAATGTTACAAAGGTCTTAAAGTGGCGTTTTACTATTAAAGTTTAAACACACACATAAACGGACAGTCGCTCACGCACTCACGTACGCAAGCACTCTTGCCTATTAGGCCAGGCGTTTGGAATTATCCATGTACAAACCAATCAAACTGTTCATTATAAAGAGTGATCGAGTGCGTATGGTTTTATGCCGCTTTTTAGTAATATTCCAGCAATATCACGGCGGGGGACACCAGAAATGGGCTTCACACATTGTACCCATGTGAGGAATCGAACCCAGGTCTTCGGCGTGACGAGCGAACGCTTTAACCACTAGGCTACCCCACCGCCCCTTCATTATAAAGAAACAAAACATGCTGGTATAGAGAAATAGTGTTATCCGAGGCCTAGTGTGAGATCGGTCGTTGGCTGAAAAGATGACATTGGACATGTCACAATAGCTATTATCACATGTACAGATCTAGGGCCATCCTCACAACAGAGACCATATAATAGATAGTATATGGTCTCTGCTCACAATTAGGTGTCTCAATGTGTTCTTGAGACAAAACTTCTCAAAGACGAAGCCAAGATTGTATCAACAAGTGTTAATCAGATCGATCGATTCAGATCGAGTGTACTCTTTTATCTGGTTGATGGTTTCCGTCTGTAACAGTTGTGGACTACGAAAGACTAACTTCTAATCAATGTAAGTTATCATGTAGAATGAAGCTTGAAAGTCATCAATGAGGTGTTTGTTTGATTAATGCTTTGTTTTTATTTGAAGGAAATACATACCAGTCAATAATGAAAAATTAATGATGAATCACATGATCACTTACGACTCAGATATCCTTAACAGATGGAGTAAGTGAGTTTAGTTTTACGCCGCTTTTAGCAATATTCAAGCAATATCACGGCGGGGGACACCAGAAATGGGATTCACACATTGTACCCATGTGGGGGAATCGAACCCAGGTCTTCGGCGTGACGAGCGGACGCTTTAACCACTAGGCGACCCCACCGCCCCGGATTGCAAGTGTAAAGTATTAATGATATATGTATTTTGAGGACAACGTCAGCATATGTATTTCTCAACAAACACGCATGCGAGTATAGGTGTCAGCTCTTCACCGACTATATCCACTTACCAAGGATTTTAATTTTCAATTCGTTCTGGTCAGCGTATTTCAGAAGTTCCCGGAGGAATGCGCACAAATACTTGAACACGTTTCTGTGACTGTCCGGAATAGCTTGTAGCTCCTGAAAAAGAAGTTATGATTCATATCAATTATATCATATCAATAGATCACAGTATCAACATATCACAATTATAGTGAATGCATAATAGCAACAATTCTAAGCAGTGTTGCTATTTGTATTTTTGTTGAATTCATATTGTTTCGAAATGTGATTAAATTTTCCCGACCGTAGCAATGGCGTGACTTATAGCTTTGCAATGCAAGGGAAGCAACTCTGAATGAATTAATGTCACTTGGTATGTGCTTGAAGACAACATTGTATGTATGTACTTCCTTCCCAAACATTCAGCATTGCTGACAGCTTATTCTTTAGCTATACATTTATGTCATGTAATATAATAATGTAAAATAGCGCTGCTGTGTATTGAACACTGATACAATTAGCCCAGTGCATTCGTTTGTCAACGCAGCCCATGAAAGTACGTCTTTTAATAAGAAGGCCACGCGTGAGTGTATATAACACATGATGGCGATCACTGGGCAGTTTTATATTTCAGCTGCAATAATTCGCGTTTTGTCCCAAATGTCACTGAAGTTGCGCCACCAATGGTAGAAAACTATACTCACAAAACAGCCTATGAACCGACGTCAAATTATATCACTGAAAACATTTCCACAAAATAATAATGTCCATATTCACTAACAATAATCCTTCTACTGTCGCAAACACTCTTAGATATCTTTTCCACTATTCAGTCTGTTAGTTCACATGTCAATAGTGTTATCATTTCTGATAGCCCTTGCGTTGCTACTAATTTCAAATCGATATGCTTATGTTACAAGTTCCAGAATATGGAGAACGTATGTCCCAGTTGTCCAATGCGCCGAGAACGTGTGTGATGGGTATAGTTTTACGCCGCTTTTAGCAATATTGAAGCAATATCAAGGCGGGAGACACCAGGAATGGGCTTCTCACATTGTACCCATCGGGGAATCGAACCCCGGTCTTCGGTGTGACGAGTGTGTGTACACAACCGCCTCCTTCACTTAAGCATGCCAGAAGTATTTGCTCTTGGGTTCGAATCCCATATTTTCCCCCATGGGTGGTTCAATTCGGGTGTGATGCAACATCAAGCTGACAAGCCGTGATATAAAAGACACAATGTTTAATGCAGCATAAGACGCAACTCACTCACTCATTCACCCACTGACACACATTCAATAAACACTCTGACACCCTCGTGCACTCACTCTCACACACAATGGCAGTTCCTACTGATAACGCGATTTAACAATGCATTATTCCTGATAATGGTAAATACCTTCTTGCAGCGATGAAACTCCGTGGAACATTGAAGACAGGAGTGATACAAGGCTGAAGGAATAACCGGCTCTGGAAGCGCCTCAAGGAACAGTAACAGAGCCTCGGCCACTGAGTGGACACTGCCGGCTGGTAGAAGGTCAAGGAAAACGTGTGACCGCCACGTTGAGATACTGTGAAAAAAGCATGTGCCCGTCCACATTTATATGAGTGAACTTCACGCCTCTGTCACTAATATACACTGAAGTCAATGCTTGACGATTTAAAGAGAATGAATTTAGTAGTGGTTCTTTACGCCGTATTTTGCAATATTTCAGTCTCATGGCGGGTGGCACCGATAAACATGGGCTCCACTCATTGTATCAGTATGTAGAATTGAACTGGGTCATTTCCCGTTAGGGGTAAACGATATCACCATAAAACCACCCTAACACCTTTTACATTTATGAAGTGTTCATTGATTAATACCTTTCGTGTATAATGTCTACGGTAAATCTGAGTCTCTCCAGACGCTATATGTCCACGGTATGACGAACTCAACATTATTCGGTAGGTTACCGATTCGAAATTGCAAATCTGTGTGGGAGATTGAACGATACAACATTTCCAAACTTTTTGTCAAAAAACATGTTGTATTCTTTGTAATCTAATTTTGAAAGAGAGGAAAGATAACACAAAGGATACGAAGATATTCAGGGCTACCGGTGTCCAGAGCGTCCCTGATCTGCTTGATCTCCGAAGGGTGACCACGCTTCAGGAACATTGATACCTGAAGAAGTATATAGAGATGTTTGTTTTATTTATATGTTTATTTTTTTGTTTATTAAATGCCGCACTCGGCACTCTATTTCATCAGTATGACAGATTTCTGTATATAATCGCGTCTGAGGATATGCCACAAACATGAAGTGTATAAATTTGTTACATATTTTCTTGTATGTCAGTCCAAACACAATGGCGATTTGGAGCCTGTTCCCAAGAACACGGCGTCAATTGCGTTTCTTGTTCATTCCAAACCAATACAATTTATCTGCTCATCCTTATTGCACTTTTGTACTGACAGGGCTATTGTTATTCTGTATGAAATGTTTCACGTTTGAAAGCTTTCATTTCAGATTGGAGGACAATAACACTGCAACTTGCCTGTTCCCCGCCATATTTGTAGAGGTGATTGACAAGACGGAAGATTTCTTTGGGGCAGATGTATTTACGGCTGTTGTATGGGTCCGTTGAGTTCAAGAACGCACTGTCACCCTGGAGACAGAGATGGAGACCGAATAGTCATATGTTGGAATTTAAAACTCCACAGACAATTCACAAATGAGCATACTGAATGTCGATAGTGGAAGGACATTGGTGGTGTATTGAGCAAAAATGGAGGCTGCGATAAAAGTTATATATATTTTGTGGGTGAGTGGGTGAGTGAGCGAGTGAGATGGGTAAGTGTGCGAGTGAGTGGGATGGGTGAGCGTGTGGAATGGGTGAGTGAGTGAGAGGGTGGGATAGGAGGGTCGGTGAGTGAGTGAGCGAGTGAGATGGGTGGGTGGGTGGGTGAATAAGTGCGAGAGGGGTGGGTGGGTGAGTGAGCGAGAGGGATGGGTAAGTGTGCGAGCGAGTGAGATGGGTAAGTGTGCGAGTGAGTGGGATGGGTGAGTGAGTGAGAGGGTGGGATAGGAGGGTCGGTGAGTGAGTGAGCGAGTGAGATAGATGGGAGGGTGGGTGGGTGAATAGGTGCGAGAGGGGTGGGTGGGTGGGTGAGTGAGCGAGAGGGATAGGTGGGTGGGTGAGTGAGCGAGAGAGATGGGTGGGTGAGTGAGTGAGAAGGTTGAGTTAGTGGGATGGGTAAGTGAGTGAGTGAGTGAGCGAGTGAGATGAGAAGGTGGCTGAGTGAGAGGAAGTGAGCAAGTGGCATGGGAGGGTCAATGAATTATTGAGTCAGCTTCAAATTCGCTTTGAACAGTATTTGAGATATCCATACATCATCAAATCGTATCAGCTTTGTGTGACCAGAAAATTCAACTCTATTCAAGGCGTGGGAGTATAAGTGAGGGACATCCGTACCACTTGTATCAGCTCTGTAACAGGAACGTCTCTGATTGGTCCGTGGACATAGACGAGGGTCTCAATGGACGTACCGAAGCTGCTTGGTACATAAGTGGCATGAATAGGTATGTATACGGGTTAAGGAACTAATATACAGTTATTTGTAAATTTTCTTCTTTCGTTTTTTCTACTTTTTCTAACAAACTGGGAGGGGTTCACTCAGGTACGATAGTCATTTACGATTTCTAAAATTATACTCCTGCCAATAATGGTTGCCACCCCTTCCTACCCCAAACCCCCACACACACACACCACACTCCCAACCCACACCCCTCTCAAATAGAAAAAAAATTGAAGGGGGTGACAACCATTATTGGCATGAGTATATAATAAAACAATATGGTTTAATTTAAATTATCAAAGGAATGATATCTAGCAAATATATTATTAACCTCAGTTGCTTCAGGATCATAAACGTTATACATTGCAAAAACACAAATATATATTTTGTCTGTAAGTGATATCCATGGTTTGAAAACACATTGAACTAATGATCTGATGAGAAGCATTCAAGGATATGAATATCTCTCTCCCGCTGTTCAGGTGTAGAACGAGTATGTCATCAAGGCTGACTCTGAAGTTGAGATCCCTGACTACCTCCTTGTCAATTAAGACCTTCAGGCACACATAGGAGCTGTCTCCTGCAACAGAAGTATCACATGACAGGCAACGAAACCCACCACAGTGAGTAATACACATTGTACCCCTGTGAGGAATCGAACCCGGGTCTCCGGCGTGACGAGCGAAGGCTACCCACCGCCCCAATACACAGAGTAATTGTGTTATCCTGGTATGCACATTACATAAGTTACATTACAAATGGAACTTATTGTTTTAATAAATCACAATATCAAAATAATAATTTACTGTCATATCAAAGAGTTACAAATGGTACAATACCAACACCATAACGTTATCAAAATCGTCACAGACATTTAGATAATTCCTGATCATATATCTTTCTTGCACAAGATAAGAAAAAGAAATACGAACAGAAAAGCTTTGAGAAACGGACATACAGGTCCTATCGGATGCACCAGTTGTGTTTTACTTGTTGTTTGTTTGCTGTTTAATATGGCACTCAGCAAAATTGCATCTGTATGTAAATAATCAGTCTGGACCAGACAGTCCAGTGATTGACATCATGGGCAACAGGGATACGATGACATGTGTCAACCAAGTCAACGAGTCTAACCACCCGATCCTGTTAGTCGCCTTTTACAACAACCATAGGTTGCTGAAGATCAGTTCTAACCCGGATCTTCACGGGGTGGACCAATTGCAATGACGTTACTGCTAACAGTTCTAGTTCTTTGGGCATTCGTACTTTTAGCCGTAACATTAATTAGAGGGTTGTTAGAAACTAATGGCAAAACAATTAATCTATTCCGAAGCGTAAGAACCAACCTGGCATCACTGTATGTTTCCTGGGAGAGACGCTCACCCATGGTGTACAAAAGCTCACGCCATCCATCTCGTTGACAAACTTATATTCCACGGGTACCTACAATTGGAATACACACGAAAAGGTCTTTCATATAAATGTATTTTGCTCAGCTAAATTTGTATGTTGCACAGGCATCTTGGAATATGAATTAGACACAACCCATGATGGTATGAAAATTATATTTATTTTTGACATATATGAGTTTCATAATACAGTTGCACATATTTATGACGCACTCATAATTGTGTTTAAACGTTTCTGGAATCAGAATATTAAATTCATCACTTCTGTTTCTATCAAATGTTGACAAATAACATGATTAAGTAGTAACAATATTTGGTTTAACAGTGGGCGTGTTGAGTGAACATTGTCTCTGAAGGGAAGTTTCTGTCTAGCTCTTCACAAATGTCCAATAGTCTTTGAAATGCTATTCTGAGCAACCGACGGCACGTATAGCCAGGCTATCCATAGGTCAGCTAGCATACCACAGTCACAATTATAAAATAATCACAGTCACAAAAGATTATAAAATAATAGATCTCAATCTGTGAGCAAGTGGTAAACGTGTTAATAAACGTTTGTCGAAATATCTGTGTATTTTGAAAGATCGACACCCAAAGATCGACACCCGGTGTTGGTTTCTCGCCCTTCAGTTGTTTGAAGGGGCACCTCAAAAATTGAATCATTTCAACTCTTAAGCACTATGAATCATTTCAACTGAGGATCCAAGGTTCAAGTGTTTCCAAAGGAAGGACTGAACCAGATCTAAGGTTCAGTGAGTGAAATATTCAAGTGCAGGATCTGTTGGTCATAAAGTCCTCAAATCGCTCGATTGACTAGTACAGAAGGATATTCGGGAAGTGATGGTCACAGAGCGTGGACGTCTTCATGTGGTACGTTACTCAACGTTACCTAAAATGGCAAACAGGGATGTTTCATTAAGAGCTAAACAATGAATTTCAACCTACCCGCCCAGTGTTAGTGATGGCCAGCTCCTTTTGTTGTGGCTCAATGAACCTGACATTCTCAAAGTAGAACTGGAATGAAACAACAGAACGTTCGCACATACGTTTGCACTGAGGCTTTGGGACATGGAAACAAAACACAAATAGTATTACCCACCAAATGACGTTGTCTGTGTGTTTGTTTTATAGTGAGTATCAATAGAAAAGTGAATGAATAACAGATATACGAGAGTAATTATCACTGTTTTAAATTGTTCCCTATTTTTTGTCGGATTAACGTGATTGTCGGTTTAACGAGAGCTGACTGTATTAGATCCGCTTCACTAAGTCTAATCTTGAAATGGACCAGACAAATTATTCTTGGACGTGGTCGCTGCACCTTATGCTCCCACAGTCCTACTCTTTGATTAAAAGGGTTCCTGGTCCTAGGTCACTTTATATGATCTACACTGAGTGTACCACCGTGATATTGCTGGAATATTGCTAAAAGCGGCTAAAAACCCAACCCACTCACTCACTATATTGAGTGTGTGAGTGAGTATGGTTTTACACCGCTTTTAGCAATATTCCAGCATTATCATAGCGGGGCACCAGAAATGGGCTTCACACATTGTACCCATGTGGGGAACTGAACCCGGGTCGTCGGCGTGGCAAGCTAAAGTTTTATCCACTTGGCTACATCACTGCCCCTTTTGTTGTCTTGGGGCTAACTGGAATTCATTAAAATGTTTGTACCGACCTCTGTTGTATTTAGCTTGACCTGAGGTGTATATTCCTCCTCTATCCTGTCCAACTGCCCCATAGCATCCTTGGTGAGAGTCCTGTTGCTTCTGTCTCCTCCCACTCGGATCTGGAACCACGGAGACGATGGTTAGAAAGGTCTTCAGCAACCAATGGCTGGTTGTAAGAGGCAGCATGTGGTCAGAACATTAGTATTGGCTGGTCATGTGCCAGGATGAATCGTTATTAGGGGTGGGTATTGCAGAGAACTTTCATATTGCGATATATTGCGATGCGGAAGCATATATTGCGATATGTATTGCAATATATTGCAAGGATTATGTTTTTAACAAAAACTACTTATAATCGAGTTAATGCTTGATTATAAAGCAATAACACAACAAAATCACTATGATTGATTAACCTTTTATAAAAACTTTTAATCATGAAAAAATAAACATTTAAGTAACATTTGGCACTAATGAAACAGGGAAAAGAACAATTAAAAAAACGGAAATATCCGAAGATTTTCGAGCGTTACGAAGTTTTCTGAATGCATGTCAAAATACCGGTTTTCGATCAGCGTATCTCAATACGTATCGTTTTCATGTCTGAACCGGTTAATACCGGTAAACCGGTTATATTGCGCAGCCCTAATCGTTATCCATAGTTTCGGTCAAAGATAACACAATGAGAACAGATAACTTTCTTATTTCTGTATCTTTTAATGAAAACGTCATCAACTTGTGGGTATCAGTTGCTGTAAATAAGTAACTGAAATTATAGTTTTCTAATCTTTCAGAATCATGTTCATGAATGTCCAAATGAATGGTACCAACTTTATTGTCTTCGAACATTACAGACATTTAGGAGTCAAATTTTGCAGAGAAAATTACTTTCCAGAATTAACATAGAACAGTGTGGTCTTGTGACTTTTCTTATAACCAACGTGTCTAGCCTAAACAAATGTTTACATTTAAATGCATTAACATACTAGACAAGAATATGATCTTTACATATTCAGTTTGGAGCTATGTCCATTCTTCTTTCTACCGGTTCCAAAGCAATATTTATTTTTACCATCCCCGGTATCAATTTATTCATATAATGTGGACTTTTGCTTCCTTCTGATATGGCAGGACAAGGTTCTCAAGTAGATGAGCATCGCACATATACCCATGTTAAGAAAAGATCTCGGGTATGCGACATGTTCAGTGAAAGTTTCGACAAGGCTATCCCATTCCAACCATATTGTTATAGAAACCTAAATACAAATGTATATAATAATACAACGCTAGATAATAATTCTGCTGCTAAAACCTGTTCCATTTGACCATAGCGGTAAACAATTCTATGAAAGAATCACTGAAAATCCACGATAATACCAGGTATTCGAAAAGAGATTAAGCATGACATGTCCGTATGGTGGAACCAGCCATTCTCAATCAACTTGCATAAATATATGATAATATTGATAATGCTATCACTATTTAGATTCTGTATACATGTTAGTGCAAGTTAAAGTACCATATGGTTATTTTCTCATTGGTACTCCAAAAATACCTACTCCGGCATCAAACAGCGCACTGACGGGTTTGTGGTCGCTGATCTTTAGTTCTGGGTGGGAGTTGTAGCGCAGCTGTCGAATCCCAGAACCTTTCCACAGTATCCGGTCACACCATGCTGGCGGGCGCCGTTTCTCGCTGTGGACCGGAAATCATGACAGACCAAGAAGGTTTAACGTGTCAAGCTTCCAAGTAGCATGTACTAACAGAACAACAGATGCAAACACCTGGCTCGGTTCTTTAACGACCTTGTCAGTCTGTTGTTGATTCCTACGGAAGCGTCCTGGTGCCACAGTCTGAATTTTTATCTCCTAATTAGGAGATACTATCTTCTAATTAGGTCTTAATTATCTCCTAATTAGGACTTAATTATCTCCTAATTAGGACTTAACTAGCTAAGTCCTAATTAGGAGATAGTTAAGTTAGGAGATAGTTAAGTCCTAATTAGGAGATAGCTAAGTCCTAATTAGGAGATAGTAACTCCTAATAAGGAGATAGCTAAGTCCTAATTAGGAGATAGTTAAGTCCTAATTAGGAGATAATAAAAATTCAGACTGTGGCACTAGGACGCTTCCGTAGTTTTCAAACTTGTGGATGTTTTTGAGAATTTCAAATGTCACAATCTGCGCGCATCAAATACTCAATAACACCCGCAAAATATGCCAACACAAACTGCATATCGATATGCAATATTGTGACCTAAAGAAGTTGTGATCAATTATCCATTGTACTTCCATGTCGTGAACTCATATAGCAACAAACTGTAACTTAACGCCTTGACGCCATGATAAAATGCATGACGTTGTGTTTCCGAGACAAGTTAACCGCCTGATAAAAGTAATAACGACAATTATTATGAAGACCAGTTTAAACTCGGCGGAATGTAAGACATATACACACTAATTCACTATATTTATGTCTGGTTAGTGGGGGCAATATATAGCCTGTTTCTATATTGTATTGTCATCTATAGTTAAACTGTTTTAGATCTAATTACTAGTTTTAAATTCGAATCAGTGATAATCTAGTTTTTTTACTGTCCTTCGTTGACTGGTTTTTACAATTTACCATTAAATACTATGTATAAAATTAATTGCTTTCGTCACGATATGGCTGAAATATTTCGATGTGGCGATAAATTTTAACTCACTCACTCACTCTGGTTAGTGGGGGGAACTATGCTCAGGGCAATTATGTTTCAAAACACTCCCAACATATTATTAAGCATAATGTTGCTGGGTGCGGCATTATTAAACAAACGACTGGACAAGACAAGGAAATACCATGTTGATGACAGTGTAATCCATTGCAAATTGTCGTACGTTTGTTGCATAGTTTCCGATAAGATTCTGCTTTTTGAGTCAATTGTAATCTAGAAACTTTCTGAAGACATTGACTTTTCAGGTTAGATACACATAAAAGTGTTATTTTTGTCCCGGGATTTCAAGCCAAGGCCGGGTTTGGAAACATTGTTGCTTCCATGAGAACTTTCGTTGTTGCCATTGTTGTTTTATCAAATACTGCCTTGGAGTTTGTACTTCTACTCTACTGATTACTGTCATTTCCTTTGGTAACATTATTGTTTCAACTTGAAAATCACGGATCCCCCGTTTAAATGTATGGTTTACCTTGTGTCCCAGATGTCTGTGCCTGGGTCGTACCTATAGGATGGACGGAAGTTGATGACACCTTCAGTGTACCCGGCAAACACATCTGACTTGCCCAGCTGCTTGCACAACTGTAAACGAATGTTTATCTGATCTTAACTGTGGTAATATTGGAATACTCAATGCCAAAGAATATACTAAAATCTGTACGTTACTGAGAAAGTGTCTTCCCCTTGAACTCGGTACTTCTCCAAGTTATTTCACCTTTACTGCTCTTTTCTTTCATTACGTTTTCGACTGAACTTTCCTCCCCTGGCCGCGCAGTGAAACCGAACATGGAAAAACGCAATACAAATTCACTACTATTATTATAATGTAGTTACCTGATCGTGTGAGAGTATTCTTGTGAACTCATTATTGTGTACGCTGTTCTTCAGTTCATTCACACTCATGTCATCGATACGAAAGTTCAGATCTCCAAACCAAAATATGAGGCTGCAGTTGAAGATGAACATTTGTGTATTTACAAATTTTAAACTTATAATAGGAAATGTAAAATTTTATACACATATTATTTATGTAAGCGTATCAAACAGAATAAGCGATATTAGATTAAGTGGCCTATGTAGAACTTGGATTTAGTTGGTTGGTTTGTTGTTAAACGCCACACTCAGCAATATTCAAGCTATATGGTGGCGATCTGTATATAATCGAGTCTGGACCAGATAATCTAGTGATCAACATCATGAGCATCGATCTACGCAATTGGGATACGATGACATGTGGCAACCCAGCCAAAGATCGCGTTAGTCGCCTCTTACGACAGACATGGGTTAGTGAAGACCCATTCTAACCCGGATCTTCACGGAAGGTGGTAAGTCACAGAACAGAGTGAGTGAGTGGGTGGCTGGGTGGATGAGTGCTTGAGTGAGTGACAGATCGTGGGATCGAATTCAAGATTATGATTCTTGTTTTGTCAGCCCCAGTCAATTGTCCATTGGTTTTACCAAATAACAAAAGTCAAAAACCATTATGTTTCGCCCTGTAAAACTGCACGTCGTGAAACAACTGAAATTTTGTTCAGAGGAGCTTTCGACCCAACTCACTCACACTATAAATAAACACCTACTCGTGGTCATCTAGCGTCAGTGGCGGCGAGAACTGTTTGAATGTCATCTTGGAGGATATATCACGATAATCCTGGAACAAGACAACAGTAACGAAACAAAGAACATCCATTTGGATATCTGAACCTACCAATAAAACAATTGGCACCAAAAACGGTAGAAATATTTGTATTTTCACAAACTGGTACACCCAAAGACCAAAGAGCTTAATTATTAAACAAGCAAAAGAAATTATTGAACATCCGTCTTTTTCATGACTGTAGTCGTATGTAATCGCCCAAGGTGGGTGGGTATTGCTACAAACAACATTCATATTGTATGTGTTCTTTAACTGTTTTGAGTAGTATATATTTCGTAAACTACATTTATTTGCTGTGTCTGATTTGAGACGACCAAGCACTCGGAAACCTAGGAATGTCATGAATTCCCGTCGTGGTTTCCGAGAACTTGAGCGGCTCATAACCGACATATCAAATGTAATTATAGCTATTTGGTCAGTTGTGCATAGTTATCATTACACATCTTCATGGACACACGTTAATATATTCCATCGATGCCCGTATTCTGGTAATGCATTCCATTTTAGTGAGTGTGGGTGAGTGAATTTAATTTTACGCCGTTTTTAGCAATATTCCACGAATATCACAGCGGGAACACCGGAAATGGGCTTCATATATTGTACCCATATGGGGAGTCGAACCGGGATCGAACGCGAACGCTTTAACCACTAGGCTACCCCACCACCCGCTCGAGCTCATTCCATACTAAATAGGATCCTTCAGATGTCAAGCTCCTGAGTGCAGAGAAAGGGACAGCCAGGTGTTCGAGAGCGGATGGAGACGGCACAGCACAGGTTAATGAATAAATAACTTTGTCTGTGAACGTGCTTCTCGAACACCTGGCTGTCCCTTTCTCTGCACTCCTTCCTCGTAACAAACAGTGAACTGTGTCAATATTTTAATGACAGTTTGTTAAAACAACTTTATTATTTTTAGGGCAAAATTCTGCACAAACCTCACAGAGTTGGGTATGATGTTTTGATTATGATCAGCGTTTCATTGAGTATGTTATGTTTATTAGTTTTCGAGTTAGATTGCAATTCATCGGTCCGCTTTTGAGCCAAACGGACTGTAGCAGGTGCCATCGTAAACGTGATGCGTTATAATTACCTACAGAAGCATGTAATAGGTGGCTTGATTTGTAATAAGTAAGACAGTGTACCTGATTTCTTCTCTCTAATTCCTCCTCGCGAGCCGTCAGATGAGAGTTGATGAAACATATAGACGTGTTGCAGATCGTCATGCGAATACCAACGCCTCCCTTGTTTCCCTGAAACCGTTTATACAACTTCTAGCGTTACTAGTGTGTGAGTGAGTGGGTTTAGTTTCAGGCCGCAATACTTCAGCCATATCACGGCGGGGGACACTAGAAATGGGCTTCACACATTGTGCACATGTGGGAATCGAATTAGGGTCATCGGCGTGACGAGCGAAAATACAGAAAGGCATCAGAAATTATGGCATGCCACTGAAAAGCCAAGAATTCAACTGTAAGAGATGTTGTAACCCGTATGACGCTCTTTGAAATCTTGGTCGGCAGATCATGCTCGATTGTTCTTACGACTGTGAAAAGTACGGAGCTGCTGGAGTTTTGCTCGGCATAAAGGGGACGTTAATGGCTGGCATACCAAAGACCTCTCTTTTCTAACACACAATCAAGTTGGTGAACGTTGCAATATGTTCCATCGTATAATACGATTTTTTTTATATCTATCCTCTATATTACGTTCTGCTGCTTGAGGCATTACGAGGATTGATAGTAATTCTTCAATAGATGCTTATGATAAAGTTGGTATCTTACAGAGTAGGGGCTCCTTTCACGAAGCAACCTTTACTAAGGTTAACCTTAACTCCCATTCTTTAATATTGCACTAAGGTTACCTTAGTGACTCACGATCACCTTAGTGCTTTGTGAAAGCAGGCCTAGGTATTGTAGAGAATGATAATGAATGTGGAAAGGGTCGTGTCGATTTAATCTGTGTGGATTAACGCCGCTTTAAATAATTACAAATTCCAGTTAAGTGATGCAGCGGCTTGACCTCTTTGAGTACATGTATGACACGGAAACAGAGATGCATGACTTCCTGCTGGAGCAAAACTGGAATATATGAGGCTGAACTGTATTACATGCCTGGTTTATTTTAACAGTACACAATTGATCCAAATTTGGAAATCATATCATGTGTCTGTGAGTGTGCCTGTGTCTGTGTCTGGGTATGTGTCTGGGTACCTCTGTGTGTATGTCTCTGTCAGTGTGTCTGTGTGTCTCTTTGTCAGTCTGTCTGTGTGTGTGTCTCTCTGTCAGTCTGTCTGCGTGTCTCCCTGTCTGTGTCTGTGTGTGTCTCTCTGTCTGTCGATCGGTAGGTCTGTGTATGTCTCTCTGTCGGTCTGTCTATGTCTGTGTGTGTCTCTCTGTCGGTCAGTCTGTCTGTGTCTCTCTGTCAGTCTGCCTGTGTGTGTCTCTCTGTCAGTCTCTCTATGTGTGTGTCTCTGTCAGTCTGTCTGTCGGTGTGTCTCTCTGTCAGTATGTCTGTGTCTCTGCGTGCGTGCGTGCGTGCGTGCGTGCGTGCGTGTGTGTGTGTGTGTGTGTGTGTGTGTGTGTGTGTGTGTGTGTGTGTGTGTGTGTGTGTGCCCAATCCTTCCCCCAGGCGTCATCCCTGTGTCATCTACCTGTGCACAATGTAAGTTATACCGTCACCTACCATGAAGCCCATGATGCCAGTGGCCACCTGCTCGGTGTCTACATTAGTAGGTATGTGTTGTTCCTGTATATAGACCAGCAGCAGTATCCCCATCAATCGAGAAGACTTCACCTTGAACAGGACAAACTGTTTTTAACATCGGGAGTTAAACCTTTTGTCATTCCCAGGCAACTGTATACACTGATGTCAATGCATGGAGATTTAAAGAGAAGAAATGATGAAGTAGTTTTTACGCCGTATTTTGGAATATTCCAATGACGGTCACGCCACAATTGGTTTCACACGTTGGGAATCGAACTCAGGTCTAAGGGTGAAGAGGTTTAATGTCTAAAACAGGACATACTATGTTCGCAAGACATACTAAGAACTCAACTGTGTCTTAATGGAACAGATTGAAAATCTAACAATTTAACTGAATATTTGCAAAATCATCTCCTACGGTTCTTGAGGAACAACAAAGGATATCCTTGCGCCCCGTCTACTCTAGCAAACTACTGCCTGTTGTCTCTGTTGTCCTGTATTCAGCTATATTCCAGCCATACCACGGCATCCTGATAATTGGTCGGATAAACCAGTGGTTGATGCGATAAGCATCAGCGCATGCCGCAGGATTCGATGACAGACATAACCCATTTCAACGAGCCTGAATAGCCGATCCAACCTACGGCAACCAACTAAATGTTTGCAGATGTATTCGCACTGGTCCCACCTCTAAACAACCTCAGATGCTAACAGCACCGTGTTTCCTCAATTAAACGCAGGACTTCAAATAAATGCCTGGACTATTTACGATTAGTATACGAACAGGCGGAGAGGCGGCCATCACATCTCCTTAAAGTGATTGTCGAATCAAGTAACTAAAATGTATTTTATATATGAAATTATACAGGAAGGTTGATACTCTACCTTGATATACTTTGCTTTGGGATGGAGGTATGTTTTCACGGCATCCTCCCATTCCACTTCTTTCTTTGAGTCGGTGGAGAGCATAGCATCTATACTCATGTCTATCTCTTGGAACCTACAGTCGATACAAACGTCAACTAGTACGTACAGACAAACACATGCAGTTTACCGACAACGGACAACAGAGATAACTGATAACGGTAAGAGATAACTGATAACGGACAGAGATAACTGATAACGGTAAGAGATAACTGATAACGGTAAGAGATAACTGATAAGGGTAAGAGATAACTGATAACGGTATGAGATAACTGATAACGGTAAGAGATAACTGATAACGGTATAAGAGATAACTGATAACGGTAACGGTAAGAGAGATAACTGATAACGGTAAGAGATAACTGATAACGGTAAGAGATAACTGATAACGGTAAGAGATAACTGATAACGGTAAGAGATAACTGATAACGGTAAGAGATAACTGATAACGGTAAAAGATAACTGAGACTGAGTCACATTGTAAGATTTTAATCCGGCCTTAAATTAGAAGGCAGCAATATTTCAGCTGTACATGAGCGGCAGATGATTATGATACGAACTATGACATAGTTAAAACCGCCATATACCCGTGAAGATGCGGGTTAGATTTGATCTTAAGCAACCCATGGTTTTCGTAAGAGACGACAGACGGCATAGGGTGGTCAGGCTCGCTGACACATGTCTAGATCGATGCTCATGCTGTTGGTCACTGGATTGTCGGAGATCCAGACTCGATTATTTACAGACCGCCGCCATAGAGCTCGAATATTGCCGAGTGCGGCGTAAAACAACAAGCAAACAGATAAAACCGCTAAATGTTTTAAATGTCCCGACATACTACCAATACCTGGTTGAGATAACAAACAAAGATCATACTCTATCAATTCAATGTAAAACAGTATTGACAATACCCAATTAGATCCCAGTTAGATTTGATCTCCAGCAAATCATGCCTGTCCCAACAGACGACTAACGGGATCGGTTGATCAGGCTCGCTTACTTGGTTGACACATATGTCATCGTATCCCAATTGCGTAGATCGATGCTCATGATGTTGATCATTGGATTGTCTGGTAAAGACTCGATTATTTACAGACCGCCGCCATATAGCTGGAATATTGCTGAGTGCGGCGTTAAACAACGAACAAGCAGTATTGAGAAGGAGGATGGGATGTTTACCCTATTGCATATATGTCTGGGGGCACCTCGTCCTTCTCTAGCCATGTCCCCAGGGCTTCCATTGGAGACTGCTCGTTCACATTCCATGTCCCACAAAATACCCTGAAAAATCTGTAAACGACAAGGGGACATGCCGATATATGTGACCATTCTGTTTATTATCAAGTATTTAGTGAACAATCAAATGCAAAATCTATGAAACATCAAACTGATATTTCACTCGAGTGAAATTGTCACTTTATGCTGGCGTTCATTCCTTCAGCCTCACTGTCACAGACTGAAGGGAATACTGTTCAAAGCGGTGTAAAACCATACAAGACAAACCATACTAACATCGGGAACAGGAACCTTTGTCATCCCCAGCTAACTGTATACACTTAGATCAATGCTTGGAGATTTAAAGAGAATGAATGAAGCACTAGTGTTTTTCGCCGTATTTTACAATATTCCACATCACGACGGTCACGACACAAGTAGGTTTCACACGTTGGGATTCGAACTCACGCCTTAAGCTGAAGAAGTTTAATATCTAAAACAGGACAAACTGTGTTCGCGAGATACTACTACTACTAAGAACTCAATAGTGTCTTAATGGAACAGATTGAAAATCTAACAATTTCATTGAATATTTGCTAATCATCTTCTACGTTTCTTGAGGAACATACTACAACAAAGGATGTTTTTTGTGCGCCACCTTCTCTACCAAACTACTGTCTGTTGCCATAGCAGTGTAAAACCCAACTCACTCACTCATACACTGACTCACGGGCTAACATGATCACAACAATGGACTGAATATTCATGATAATAAGTCATATGACTGTTAACCTTCAAGCGCTTCACAGGCAGCTTGGGTTAACCAGGGTGACTACGTCTAAGCTTCTTGAGCATGCGCAATTATGTGGATAAAGGCGTGCTTCATAAATGTCCATTATTATTAATATCTATGTAACGCTTGGTTTAGTATTTGCGTCTAGTCTAGGCAATCCAGGGATTGATATTATGAGCAAACATACATACTGACCCGGCATAATCACGCGCAATAAGTGAGTGAGTATGGTTTTCCGCCACGTTTAGCAATATTCTAGCAAAATCACGGCGGGGACACCAGAAATGGTCTTCACGTTGTACCCATGTGGGGAATCGAACCAGGGTCTTCGGTGTGACGAGCGAACGCTGTAACCACTGGGCCACCCGACCACCTCCACGCGCAATGAAACAAGTCACCTAATCACCAACCGATTAAGTCGCCTCGTTCGACAATCATAAGTATGGACGTATATTCTGACAAATAATCTCCAGGGTGAAGTGAATATTTTTCAAATACGCCCCCTAAGTGCAATTTAAAATAAGCTTGATTTATGCGTTCTCGTAAATACACGGTTATGTATATAGATCAGATATTTTTTCAGTATGGGTGGTGTGGGGTGGTGGTGTGTGTGTGCTGGGGTAGCCTTGTGGTTAAAACGTTCGCTCGTTACGCCGAAGGTCAGGGTTCGAGTTAGGGTTCCCCGCCGTACTATGGCTGGAATATTGCTAAATGCGGCGTAAAACTAAACTCACTCACTCTTTCTGTATCCGTGCACGTTTTCATTAAACGACCTCACAAGAGCCCCTGTGATGACGGACTGTGACGTATATTTCTTGGAATATTAAGCTTCACAAGACTCGTTTCCGTGATACGATTTGTGTGACAACTACATTTATATTTATGGAACACCGGGAACAAGCAGCAATGATATTGTAATGACACCTCAAACGCTGTATGTCCTCAGTGAGTTACGACAGACGTAAAGTTAAGTATATTAGTGAGTATATTTTGAGCATCAAAATGCACCTACTTCACTGGCACCATTCCTTGTAAGTTCAGTTAAACTCCTTACCTCAACTGATCCCTTTGTACATGTTCTTTCTCTTCATCCTCTCTATCCACATCCATCATTCTGACAGGCTGTGTTGCAGGGCCAGTCTCCTTCCTCCTGACGGCGACACTGTTTGAAAACATGAACACCATATGTAACAGCGACAGCTTCCTTGACGAAACCAACAATTTTGTGTTCGTTTTCCACACCAATTTTCCATTGAAAAGAATCAATTTCATGAAACTAATCTCATCACTTGCTTGATAACGGTGTTGGAATCTACCCCGAAACGTCGCTCCTCGTTGTAATAAAGATGCTTATCCACATATTTTATCCTTATGTTGCATAAGCTGAAAGAAAGTGTTTGTTAGTTTCATTTCTTTCAAACTGGTGTATTTACGAGTATTTTTTCACATTTACCGTGAGTTAAACATAGCCATCCCACCGTACAGATATCAGGCGCGTATATATCCAAATATCGCATAAACAGGATGCAGATGATAATATAAGTCGTTCGTCTCTTTGTCATTAATAAACGTCATGACGTTGTGGAAATAAACATATTGTTATGATTAAACTTCCTCATCTCACAAAGCATGGACCGAAATTGTTAGTTTTCCTTGATAACAATGCTTGCGAATGTCAGAAGGTCATAAAAATACTTTATAATTTCAAGGCCACCGCCTCGCTTTCAAATCCACTTTCCCGTATGAGCGTTGTGGTAGTGGTCATAACGTTTCTTTGCTTTTTGTGAAACATATGGAATGATATAAAACATATTATACCATATAAAATAATAAAACAACCTTCCTTGAAGGACATGGTGTTACTGAGTGAGTGAGTGAGTTTAGTGGGTTGAGTTGAGTTTTACGCCGCACTCAGCAATATTCCAGCTATATGGTGGCGGTCTGTAAATAATCGAGTATGGACAAGACAATCCAGTGATCAACAGCATGAGCATCGATCTGCGCAATTGGGAAACGATGACATTTGTCAACCAAGTCAGCGAGCCTGACCACCCGATCCCGTTTGTCGCCTCTTGCGACAAGCATGGGTTACTGAACACCAATATTCTAACCCGGACCTTCACGGGTTGGTGTTACTGAGCTTGTGTTACAGACACAAAAGTGTTATGATATGTTTAACGAGGTCGCTTCGAAAGGTTTTGATACTGTTTCCTGGTCCGAACATTTCGTTACCGGAAGATTAACTATACTTTGTAGACTGCACCATGGGATTGTCACATGATAAGGAATAACAAAATGTCGGTCTCTGAAAACAGATGAATAGAGGAGTATAAGCTAAGCTTTGTTTGCGTTTTGTTTTGTTTTGTTTTTTTGTTGTTTAACGCAATCAACAATGTTCCAGATATATTCCGGCGTCGGTCATTAACATGGGTCAACCAATTCAGCGAGTTTGATCACCCGATCCCTTTAGTAGCCACTGACGATAAGCATGGTTAGCTGAAGACTCATTCTAACTCGGATCTTCACGGGTGAGCATTGTTTGTGAAATGTATAGGCTGGTTAGGACAATAGACGCTATTGTCAGCTGTTTGAGTGAATGAGTTTAGTTTAGTTTAGTTTTACGCTTTTAGCAATATTCCAGCAATATCACTGCGGGGGACACCAGGAACGGGCTTCACACATTGCACCAATGTGGGGACTCGAACCCCAATCTTCCGCGTGCCGAGCGAACTCTTTAACCACTAGGCTACCCCACCGCCCCTGAAACCTACGAAAGACATCAACTGTATCTGAAAAACATGCTTACTGTACACGTTCCTGTCAGTTCGTCTTCGCTGCGCTGAAAGATATAGCAATATAGCAGGAAGAGATACCAGGAAGTGGTTTGTTTTGTACACACATGGGAATAGAATCTGGGCCTTCTGCGTAATGCTTGACACCACTCAGCCATTAGGTTCATGATAATGTATGTTCGTCGCGCAGAGTGGAACCCCGATCTTTGGTTTGGCAAACTGCGCGAACCAACGCTTGAACCACTAACCTAACTCACCCACTTCATGAATATGTTTTCACTGCATTGTTTATCGATAACTATAAATGCATAACGAAACTTACAGAAATACAGTCAAATCCCGATGAGTCGAATCGCTGGGGACCAAGTAATAAATTCGACTTATCCATGTATTTGAGACATAGGTATGTCTATGAGGGCAGAAAAAAAGATGATCCAGTCCTAATTCCTCCGCCTAAGAATTTGCTTATCTAATGATTTCCATATCACTAATACGGGCACCTTATCAGTTCCAGTCTGATTAGCACAGACAGTGATTTCCGTAAAATCACTAATCTGCCTTAGTGATTATGCTATAATACGATAAAGCCTTGTCACTGAAGAACCACTTGGTCTAGTGGAAAGAGCGTCTTACCGGAAAGCGGATGGTCGATCCCCAGTCGTGTCACACAAAACCACGAGAAAAGGGTGGGTTTTTGGGGTTTTTACTCTGCCTAGCGCTCGTCTTTAACAAAAGGACACTACGTATACTATGCCCGTTCTATTACAAACAGACGCACACGTGTCTATATAAGTACAATAATAGGTTATACAATAAGTGCAACGCTAAACCCACCTTCAGCTCAAATCGCTTTAATCGCGAGGGACGTAAGGGTAGCCTGGTGGTTAATACGTACGCTCGTCACACTGAAGACCTGGGTTCGATTCCCCAAATGTGAAGCTAATTTCTTATGATATTGCTGGAGTATTCATAGAAGCGGCGTAAAACTAATCTCACTCACTCAAATCGCGAATCGTGCGAAAAACCGTGACTGTCTCATAAAAACTGCGTGTTCAGATCACCCAGATCAATGAGGGCATTGAATTGACACGCTTCGAGCCGGGAACCAATTCGGCTGACTTCCTGCCAATTAATTCCATGGCTCCAGACTTAAGAACACTACTCTCTAGGGAATATCACGTTTTAAATGTAACATTTACAGCTAACTCCACGTCAAAACACGTAAAACTAAGAACTATGCAACAAGCGCAGTCATAAAAATTCTCAACACGGAAGTAGATTCGACGACAAAGCGCCGTATTATTGATGTGATTCTGACATGTCAACAAAGGCTTGAGTGATCTGTGATAATAAGGTAAAGCGTTTGGTGTGTAAAAACCATAACACTGTATTGTTGAAAATGTTACTAGTAGTGAGTGAGTGACTTAAGTTTTACGCCGCTTTTAGCAATATTCAAGCAATATCACGGCGGTGGACACCAGAATTGAGCTTCACACATTGTGCCCATGTTGGGAATCGAACCTGGGTCTTCGGCGTGACGAGCGAACGCTTTATCCACTAGGCTACCCCACCGCTCCAATGTTACTAGTAAAATACAGTGATCGAGTATGGTATAACGCCGCTTTTAGTTAAATTCCAGGGCCTAGATTTTCGAAGTTCTCTTAGCGCTAAGATAGTCGTAAGTGCCATACATTAACATAGACTTACGACTTAGACATAAACATAGACTTACGACCGTAAATAATCGCCAGTGATTGACATCATGATCATCGGTCTACGCATTTCGCATGCGATGCATTAAAGAAGTCATCGAGCCTGACCACCCGATTCCGATATTCGGTTGCAGAAGACCCTTTCTCACCCGTATCTTCACGGGTCCTGCGAGCTTTGTACCCAGTCCAGGCCCTTCCTATAATTTTGATTCTGTTTGACGCCGCATTCATTCTAACCTGGAATAGCCATGGGGGATATACTATTCAAAAAGAAACGCATAACCCAGAAATCTGTTGCGAAAATGTTGTATTTTCAAACATGTATAACTCGTTCACAAATAGCCTTTAAGAAATGAATTTTTACATCAGTTTAGAAGAAGGTAATGTCTATACAACCAAGTGGATAATTTTAGATATCGCAGACGCTGAGCGCGATGGTGACCACGTAGCATGGTGCCGACGTCGGGTCTCCTGGCTCTAAGTCCAATCTCTCTGTTCCGTACACTTTGACCGGATATCCTCCGAAGTCCAGGCACCCTGTCTCACGCGTTGCAATACGATCACGCAAATGTAGTACCCGGATGTACCGATCTTGGACTGCTGTGACTCGAGATCTGCCTGTACGGGGACGGTCATTTGTTATACTTGTTTGGTTGTAACGAGCTGCAAGCCGTGATATCGTGCTCAGACTAACATTCAGACGCCTGGCAACAGAAAATTGGTAATCTCCAGTGCATTCTTTCAATGGCGATGTTCCGTGTCGCAGCGTCAAGACTTGGCGTAGTGATTTGACCTTGAAACTCCTTCAAAACGGATGCCGATTTCCGAAAGTAATCTGGATTTTTATAGCCAAACAGTGCATGCTCTTTGCTGGAAGGTGATTTCTGTTGCGTTGTGGCGATGCCTTTTTAATTCTTGTAAGAAATCTCATCAAAATCAACATTTTCAGGTAAAGTCGACTTTTCACTTGTGCAACTGTGTAAAATCATGTTATCAACACTTTTGTTACATACATGTATTTTGACGATTGTTTGAACACAATAGGTAATTAATAGAATTTTAAAAATACAAAACGCCTATGCGTTTCTTTTTTGGTGGATAGTATATGTCCTTGGCTCAGTCTTGGTCCAGAAGAGTCATTCTCACCGTCAGCGCAACTGGTTAGGCTGAGCGTCACCACAAGCACACTAGCGTTTGGACCGCCCAGCGTGACCTTATCTTCGTCCTCCATGTGTTTACAAGTCAACAACACCCCGGACTTGTCTAAGTTCATACTTGGACTACAATCGGTTTCGAGTAGCTACGGACGATCGGATGACAGAAATAATTACCATGGGTTCGAATCCGGTTCGTACCGATTAGGTTTCTGGGTTTGTCATGTGCCGTTGGGTCTCACCTTGGGTATAAGCATCTCAAATCTGCATCACTTCGGGCTTTCTTCCGTGGACTAACTGGAACATTGCCCAAGACGGCGTTAAACGTAACTCATTTACTCACTCACTCACTCCGCACGCACTCACTCACTCACTCACTCCATGTTACATCCTGAACCGATTCTCACATAAAATTCAGAACGAATGCGAAGCTAACTCACAACTTGCAGGAAAACGAAAAACATACCACAAAATACATACCCGTATCTGTAGATGACAAAATCGGCTGATTAATTCCAACCCGTGTTTGAAAGACCTCCGTTGATATATGTCTCCAGTTTCCTCTTGCTCCCAGAAGTCTTCGTAAGTGGAAAGAAGATACAAACCCGGTCTTTGTCTTTACTGATGACGTGCTCGAACCATCAATCACTCATGTGCTTAGCCAAGACATTTGTATACGCAGGCCGGAGTATACCAGCAGGAACTCAATGTAGAACGTATAGCATCCAACACATTTTAGTCCAGTTAGAACAAAGAATACCGAGTCTTGACAATACGCCAATACAAACGCGCAGCTTCCATAAATACGGGTTGTTACACAGTGTACGTCAAAGAATTATACAATCTACATGATACAATCAATACAATCTGTAGAGTCATTGTCAGCCTCTGTTCAATCAGTTTACAGGT